GTGAAACTAGCATGGCGCTGCTCATGCATCCCCCAAGAGAGAGGTTCACAAGGAAGGGCAGGGGAGGGTAACATCACGAGCCTGTAGGCCAATCTCACTCAATTCAGCGTCGGGTGAATTCACGTCTGCTATGTCAACCTCCCTGCCCAATGGGGTAGAGGGGGTTGACATAACGAACTATACCCCAATGCACTAGCTTTATATTTAAGAAAAAGGAGTGGCTACTTTCTATTTTTTGCATTTGCAAAATCTACAAAACACTGATGGCTCAACAGTTTTAACATACATGGCAGATGCTTAGTGGCCTACAGGTGCAAAGAAGATGAGTATAATTTCTAATCCCATCTATGATTACTTTTAATATTATATTTACCAAGGTCAAATAACCCTCCCTTATATGATGAACTATTTCTCCAAAGAGTACCAAGTATTTAGAAATGTATATGGTAGAAAGCCTACAACAAAATGTATCATCCTTGAAAAAAGCTACATAAAACTTGTAACTCACCAGCATCAGAAGGACTTGGTCCTTGCAATGGATTAGATCAAGCAAGGCCAGCATCAGCTCTATGCTCCAAATATGGAGTGCCACTAGCTTGGTCTTTGTGTCAGATCTAAAGATAAGAACAAACTATTTCATGATTAGCTTTCTGGGTCTATGTCCACTGCCTAACATTAAGCCTAAAATCAGATAAGTTCTAGTTTAGCTCATGTTAGCTCCTTCTATGAATCAAAACTACTGAAAATCAAGGTAAGTGCTGGCATAGGCCCAATGCAATCCATAAAAATTGCTATGGTAATGGATATACTAATACATGCACCACCACTGGTATCAATAGCTGGAGCAAAAAATTATTCAGCAAGACTAGAAAGTGATCTAAGCTGCAGGTGCCACTGCTTCTGCCCCGAAATTTGAGAGCAGCTACTCAAGGACTTTGTCAGAGACTGCTTTGTGTTTTCATTTTTTACGCTTTTACGTTACAATCACCCTTGTATTTTAAATTTAACCACCGATACCTTCGTGATCGTCCAAATCCATCCCCCAACGGTATCTCGAACGCATGCCTTTCGGAGAGAGCATGTTCATTGGTCTGATTGAAATATAACGGCAGGTCTGCGATACTGTCACTAGAAATCTACGAACACTGTAGCTACACCTTGCTCAAGTAAACGGGATCGTACCCAAGCAAGCCAAAACCAACAAGAACAGCATGGGGAACACAGGTGCACAGAGCAAGGAGCCATGTTGGAGTCACAGGACTGCCAAAGACCTTCAACATGACTTAGATTGTCTTATCAATGCATTTTTTGCTGAATGGATATTGCGCTCTTTAAATTCCACCGAGAAATCCCCGTACATTTCTTCATCGCATACTTCTGTTTTTGTTCATGCTTTTGGTGGATTTCATCATTCAAACTATCCGGCATCCCACAGAACTGCGATCCCCATTCGCCATTTTGGAGACTCACCGAGAGGTCAAGGAATTGTATTCTGTCTGTCGTGAATATTAGACGTTTCTTTGATATCTAGTTGCAACCTGAAGTAGAGCGCTGGTCGACGGAGGACATGTCGTGGGATTATTCCAGTTATTACTCTCATATGTACCCACCAGATGGGTCACAGTATGGGTGAGTTTGATGGTTTCATCGTTTAACATAGTTGAAGTTCTGTTCGGTAGCCCAGGCCTAGCCTGGCTCATCTTAGCCTAACTTCCATGGACCTTTGTAAACAACTCAGGCGTGCTGGGATTGTGTATGGTTTCATTCAGTAGGCCTACAGAAGCCTGTAGTGATTTCACTTTCGATTCATGCAATCTTGTGCGATGCCCAAGTTGATCCAATGTACCTTCGGAAGGTGCAGTCCCTCGATTTAACATTGACGCGTTTTACATGTAAGAATTGAAAGTGAAATCGGTTTACATCAGGTTTTTTTTATCCTTGCATTGACATGAATATTTAAAATGCTATTCAGAAACTCCCAAATTATTCAAATCCATTCAAGCTTGTCTTGAAAAATTAGATTCATATCAAGTGCTGTTTGGATTTTTCAGGTATCCTGCATATGATCCATCTTACAACATGGGATATCAACCATATATGGGACAGGTGAGTTGTGATTCATGATTCCATTGGTAAAATTTGGCATTCAACTGATAGACATTAGCATAGATTGTTACCCAGAGTATATCCAATAGGCATCAGCATCGGTTGTGACTCAGAGTATATCTAGTGGCAGATATTTTACCTTGACTTTAAAGGGGACTTAATGCAGTTTCACATTCTTGGCACTGGTACCTTAAGAGAGGCCCTTTGTGATGATGGATTTCATTGAAATTCTAGTTCATTCTGGGATGTCCAGCAGTTTTAGTCTGTCTCTCCAAATGCAGCAGACCTCACTTGAGATGTTGAGAGAATAACTTATGAAATCCTATGAATGTACAGTCATGGTATTTGGAGGAGTGTAGGCCACCAGATTTGAAAGGGAGTCTTACCTCCTTGGTGCTAAGAGTTGCTGTGATACACTAGATGCAAATTATATTCCTATACAGTATATATGTTTGAAAATAAAATGTATTGACACTTCGAAGAAAAACTTTTCCTCTCCTGTTACAGATGTATGGAGGGTATCAAGACTTCTCAAAGAATCAACCTCAAACTTCTGGTAAGGATGGTTATTAAAAAAGACCTCTAAAATTTTCTGCTTGACCAATAATGCTTGCAGCCAATAATTATTTCACATGAATTCATATGGAAGACTTTCCCCATTAAAATATTGGGAAAAATAAGGAGGCTCTTAGATTTGTTGCATTTTAGCATTTTTGTACTTGCAAGATCCCACTACTATCTCCAACCTTCGGTAATTTTGAACATCTGGCATAAAAATTGGAGGGGGGAAGGTCTCCTTAATGGTTTGACTTTCTAGACACCTGTGTGGATTGCTAACTGCTTCTTGCCCAGGTGATTACTTATCAATATCTGAACCTAACATATCTGTATGTTCTCTGTACTCCAGTGATATTTTGAACCTATAACTGGAAAAAAAAAACTATATTCAGCTATTACATCAGATTACTTCACTATTTCTAATTCATCCTTGAACAGGATGAATGCCCCAAATAATAGAACAAGTGATAGAAATGGTAAAAGAATGTACAACATGCTACTTTCCTTATTTCTCATGGGTTCATGTGGCATTATCACCTCTCATATCATGGAAATTTGTGGATGAATCAAAACACCATCAACATTTAAATCTGCTTCTTTTTTATCTCTATCTCCTAGGCTTGTTTAAAAATTTTCACCAGCATATTTAATATGCTGCAGTTGACTCAGAATATCTAGGAACAGCTATCGTAGGTTTGAAGAACTTGTTCTCTGAATCACTATTGAGGCTGGAGATGTGTGTTCACCTGTTTGCAGTTCACATTTAAGGTGAATGGTAATGCTGATAAGGGCTGGACCATTTGTGAGTCCATTGCGATACCTTGAAAGCAGGAAACACTCCCAATACTCTGAGTATATCACTGATGAATCATTAGAGACTGCCATTTGTCTAAAAGGAAACTCAAAACAGTACTAATTAGGGATGCACCAATACAGTGGCTGTCAGAAATGAAACCACAATATAGGACCAGACCTTAGTAGGCCTCATGTTACCCTTGGTAGAGAGGGGAAGAAATTTAAAAAATCCTCGAACACTAACGACCCAACATTCGAAGTTCCTGTCATTTATTTAGCTTTGGAGACATTTACGTCGGCAATATATTCGCTTCTTGAGCATAGGCCAAAACTTCCCCTGCCATTCACCAGGCCCGCCGAAAATACGTCGGACGTAAGTACTACGTACAAAGGACGATCGGTGCGAAGAGGAGTAGAGTCAGGAACTACATCTGATGTCCTTAAGGGATTAAGGAGTTAATGCAACTACTGTACAACCGGGTTCGGTGCTCGAGGGGAGAGCCGGAGGCGGGATGAACGTGAGCGCAAAGTGCGCCTGCGCCAACCAGTCAGCGCAGGAAGGCAGAAGACGGGACGGAATGGGGGGGGGGGAAATGAATGCGTACGCGAATGACACTGGCCCATTCCATTCGTACAATGCCCTTCTCCAAACTCGCGCATTCCACTTTAACCATGCTCAAGCTCATTGTCTATTAGTTAGAGATTAAAAAGAACTATGACGGACATAAGGAACCGAATGCCATTACTATTGTGGTTTTCATCAGACGTTCCAAAACCTAACGCGCTGTGTATCAAGTACGGCGTGCAGCAAGGGAGAAACGAATCGGATCGGTATCGGTGCATCCCTAGTACTAATGATTCAACTCTCACAGGCCCTGTTTGGCCTTTATGAGATTGTGATTTTGTTACTTGCGAATTACCCCTTCATGTTTGATACGAAATTATACCTTCTCATAGGTACCCTGAAAGAGGGGGAGGATTTGCCACCCCTTCCACCTGGCTCTCCCCCGCCTCCACCTCCACCCCCTGTAAAGGAGGAAAAGGTTGAGCAAACTGTTGATACAAAGCCACCTCTTCCTCCATCCCCTGCTGAGTTTCTGCAGGCACAGCAAGGTGAGACCTATAAAGTCATTATTGCCTGTTTGTAAGGGATCGGAGAGTGATGACTGGGTGGTAGTCTTTTTTCTTCAGGCAATTATCACGCCGCTCCACTCTCGGAGTCGGGCATCCGTTTCAGTCTCCCTAACCGACTCCCTCGCCCGCTGGAGTGGACCTTTCAACAGGGTGGCTTAGGGAACAAGAAGAAGAAAAAGAAGAAAGGGAGGGGTGGGAACTCCTTCATTCAACCGCCTCTGCCTGTTGGACCTCCACCATCTGCTCCCCCCCCTCCTCCTCCTCCTCCCCCTTCACCTCCTCCTCCTGCTCCCTTGCAAGATGAGGTGCAGACCCCTCCGACCAGCACCGGCAAGGGGAATCCAAATGTATGGGCACCTGAGGTGAAGATGGATATGTCAATCTTCAAAACTCATCAAGGTACCAAAGGCTTCTTGTTTCCCTCAGTGAACTTGGGAATTGTTAATGTTATCCTGAAATCCTGATTTGTTTTGGTTATCTGTTTGATATCAGTATTAGAATAGCTAATAAGTGTGAACATTATATTACAATAGTAATGCTAAAGATTTTATTTGCAGGTTTAATATCAGCAAAAGTCAACCCAGCTCTACCTGGCTAGGAGACTAAAGTTATTTTTTTCATGTGAATTAGTCTGGGATAGGACTCATACTTTAGATTTATAATCTGGAACAAGTTGCTTGAGTAGGGATCTGATCTGTTACTGCAGAGTAATCTGTTAAAACTGAGTGTTTTTACAAGCTGTGGTGAGGCTATTGAGGAAGTGCCTGTTCAGGAAATTACTTTGATAAAATTGCAACAAATTGTGAATTCTGTTTGCTACAGTTTTAATATGGACCTCATTTCATTTCATTTTCAGTGCCTAATTCTGATGTAGCTCATGGTGGCCATGATGAAACTTTGAGAAATCCCCTGTTGGGTAATGAGGAAGAACTCCCTGAAGACCTCAAGTATGTTTAATTTATGGAATCTACATTCAATATAGCCAAATTTTTATTAGCCTCATGTGTAAGTGAATTCTTTCCTTTGTTTATTCCAGCAACTATGTGAAAAAATGCTTTAGTCTTTGTGACACTGATGCGCAAAAGGATGAAGTGAGCCGTATCCTGCAAGAGAGACTGATTCATATTCTCAAGACTGGTCGACTCAACAAGATTAACTGGAACAGTGAACCTCTGATATGGTAGATGATGTTTCAAAAGTTTAACTACTGAAATGTACATGTCTGTTAAGTTTCTCGCAGATGCTATTCATAGTCTTGCTTTTCCAGCCCTACTTCAACAGTCCCAGCTAAAACCAAGACGGGGCTTTCCCCCTTACGAGGACGTGGTCGTGGCATGAGATGGAGATTGGGTGTTGGTCGAGGGAGAAACTTGTTCACCCGGTCGAGGTCAAGATCGAGGTCGAGATCTCGATCTAGATCTCCATCGCGATCGCGATCCCGCTCTCTATCCCATTCACCATCACCCATATCTTCTCGATCTTCCCAGTTGTCGAGATCTCCCTATCAGAGATTGTCCTCAACTTATAACTCAAGGTATCTTTGAGATCCTTGGACTTTGTCATTTATGTGATTCCATTTTATTCATGTTGAGACTACCTCAACAGTGGAGGGAACAACGAGGTAGGAGGCAGACATCGCAAAAGGAGACGAGGCTCATCCGGTACCACTCCTGTTCGTCAAAAGAAGGCGTAAGGAATTTTATTTAATTCTGTTTGAAATGTATTTTTGCATTTAGGAATATGTCACTGGTCTTCTTTTTTTTAATAAACAGAGTCAAGAAACAGAAGGGAAGGGCAGGTGTAATAACAAGACCTCCACAAACTAACAATGCCAAGCTCATGGAGAGAGCTCAGAGGTTTGCCTCCACCTTGAACAGTGGCTCTTCCATGTTCTTCATCGACACGGGTGGCAGCTTCGATGGTGTCGGAGAGGATGGTGACAGTCAATGGGCCTCTCTGCACATTGTGGGAACTTCGACCGCTCTCGAGAAACCCTATCTACGACTTACTTCTGTTAGTGTTACTCCATTATCACTGAGTCACTACACCAGAGGCTTTTTAGCAAACAAGCAAAAAATGTACATGCTCACCCACATAAAGTCCGTGTTCTTCTTTTGTCGTGTAAATAAGATTACCTTTTTTTGATGATTATCTAGCCACACATTTGGGTACTTATTACTTCAATTTGGTTCAGAAATTTTCTGTCAAACTATTTTTATTTTTGAGGTTTCAGAAAGAGAGAATAGAATTCCTATTTGCAGATGTTTCCCACAGTATGCACACTCAGCTGATAGTCAGTAGGGACAGTCAGGCAACCATTGTAGCTATCGCATTATCAAGTTCCTCGAACAAAAGTCTGCTTTGATTTGTGATATTTAAAAGTCCAAACCTAAATGTAATTTCTGGCTTACCTGGTATGTGCAAAAGTATCCCAGTGATGAGCAGATTTATCTAGTTCTCTGATTCTTAATTATAGTGGAATTTTATTAATGTCCACTATATTGCTTCTTTTTCCACCTTAGCTGTTCCTTATTAGTGTCATTGCATTTACAATAAAATTTATTTGCAGGCTCCAAATGCATCTATGATCCGTCCAGTTCACATCCTTCAGGAGTCTCTGCAGATGGTAAAACAGCATTGGCAGGAGAAACAGGATTATCATTATGCCTGTGATCAACTGAAATCCATTCGACAAGATCTCACTGTGAGTTCTTCATGGTTCTATTTCTATGGTTCTATTTGTGAAAAAATCCTTTTCAGCATGGTCTTGACTTGTAAATCGGGCTTTCATGATGCAGGTACAAGGCATTCGCGACGAATTCTCGGTTCACGTGTATGAGACTCACGCCCGAATCGCTCTGGAGAAAGGGGACCGGGAGGAGTTCAACCAGTGCCAGTCCCAACTCAAGAATCTCTATGCTGATGACCTTGGCCAGCACATGCTGGAATTTAAGGCTTATCGCATCCTGTATAGCATCTTCACAGCCAATACGCTTGGTGGGTCCCAGATTTGTCTTCCTTCTACCTTTCCAGCAAGTTTGAACTGGGATTAGATTTTTAAAATCCAAGTAGTATGTTTAGCATCTCTCACATTGTTAGACAATTATATTAGGTATAAATTAGTTACATAAAACCATTAAGAACAAAACCTGATAAGATATGAGATAATTCCTCCAGAATGAAGAAGTACTACTATGACTTGCTAAAATCATCTGCAAATGCATGCATTATCCATGAAAAGATTTGCTCATTGATCTATGGGGTATTTTGACTTACTAGTGTTATCATAATATACTTGATCACTCATCAATGTGCAATATTACCTTGGCAGTTGGGGCACTATCCAATAGCATCACAGTTGCTGTATGGTGTAGCATAAGTCTTAGTCTTGAATCATTCCGTCTCTTGTATGTTTTCTTTGCTTGGGGACTATACAGGGATGGGATTTGTTGTATTCCTACATTGTTGAACTGGTAGGGTGTGAATTATGCTATTATATATATAACATGGGTTATGGGGCATTGGTAGTTTTTCTTTTGCTACTGTGTTAATTTTGCTTGCTTGAAATGATCCCAATTTCATGGGGGGATTGATGGATTGCACTCTCTTTTCTTCCATGACTTTTGATTAGACAGCTATGTAATACATTATAAGAGAAGATTTGGAGAGCACAAGGAAAAACAAACCTAAGATAAGAGTGGGATGGGAAGTGGCTCCAATGTTAAGCTTTTTTTTCCTGATAGTCCTTGAGTTTCCAGTCTGTCTGTCTGAATGGAACCGTTTTTCCTTCTTCATCTTCCTATTTTTTTCCAAATTCAGCAATACCTATGCTTCCTATATACTGCAGCACTGAGCGGCTGCATGCCTATCAGGAATTTTCTTGCATACTATTAATAATAAAATAATTCCATTGCTGCTGGCTATGTCTACATTTTTTTCCTGTATGTTTCAGACTTGACCACAATGCTGTCTCAGCTGACTCCAGGCGAGAAAGAGAACGTGTACATCAAACATGCTCTTCGAGTTAGGTCAGCATGGTGGTTGAACAACTACCAGAAGTTTTTCAGGCTCTACCATAAAGCCCCCGGAATGGCAGGCTACGTCATGGACTGGATGATGCCACGAGAGCGAAAGAACGCCATCAAGACCATCGTCAAAGCGTATGTGGAACTCTGGTACCCTTTCATTTTTCTGTTCTTTTCAGGTTTGCACAGCAGTCAAGAGGGCCACCATTCATTCTGCAGACATCAATATGAGTCTTCCCTGCTCCATGAGAAGAAGTCCTTACCATGTCATTTTAGTACAATCAAGCCTAAGTCCTGGTATTATTTTGTGCTTAAGTTCCTACTTGCTGTAAAATCCTTTTCTCCGCCTTGAAGGTTTTAATACTTTTTTTTTTTAAGTGTAACCCTCAAACCATAGGATCTTGGTTTGCATTTTCATCATTTTTCTTACATTTCCAGCCTACTCATTATACCATGGAAAATCATCTCTTTTCCTCTTGAGTACTGATTTGCAGCAATTTCTTAAATCATTGAAGACAACAAGACATCTCAGTCAATTAGTTCACCTTGTGCTCATCAGAGGCTAGGGCAGTGATGGTTCTAGTTAATTTTTCACTGACTTCATTCTGCTATATCTCATTTTCCAGGAACATGATAGGAGTTTCATTCACCTCAATAAATGTTACGTAAATTCTATGCATAATAGGGAGGTTTTGCACACTTAATTCTATGATCATATGGATGACTAATCAAGTAGGCTGGGAGACATGTTCTTTTTAATCCTCTTCTAACCTCCAGTATGTTTTATATTCTTAATTCAATATTGTCTCGTGATTGTTTTCCTGTGAATGTCCCTGTTTTTCCACTGGTTGTTCTTCCATTCTCGCATCATGACCTGTCCCCTCCCTCATCAACTTCCTGAGACACCTCAGCTTCCATCTGGGCTCACTATGTGTCTCTGTTGGAACTCACAGATATAGGCAGGTGATCGACGTGTCATTTGTAGCTGAGGTTTTGGCCTTTCCTAACGACGATGAGTGTAGGACTTTCCTGGATACCCTTCCCGTCACCTACTCTGACATGCTACGGACCAAGATCAACTGCAAGGCCTGCGCTTCTGCCGTCAGCAGCTGCTGAATCGTATCGGGCCTCCCCCCACTGATGCGAGCCCGTGATGATGCTGAGCAAGATGGGGAATCCCTGCCAGGAAAGATTGAAAGATTGGAAATGTATCTCATCTCTCAGGGTGACCTGGTCTATTGGTCCTTTTGGATCCTAGTATCACCATATGTATCAGAATGAAGTCTCAAAATTATAGCCAGGATTTTTATGCATTTGAAGAAGATCCAATCCAAGGAAGGAATGAATGAATGGGTAGGAAGAAGACCATCAAGATCCATGAAATCCCAGCTTCAGGGAAGTGCCAGTTCATGAAGACCATGAAAGTGGCTCTCAAGATCAGTATCAGTGGGGGCAGGCCTTTGAAACCATCAATGCCAAGATGAAGATTTGAGGAGAGAAAGGTGACCAGTATTGTCTCCCAGATGGAAGCCTTGAGCCATCTTTTTCTTTTTAATCCTCACCAGCTGAGTATTAGGAAGATTCTCACTCGTCTGCTGCTCGCGGATCCACATTTCGGCTAAAGCGTTCGTCGTGTCCGACGAGATGGCATTCGGCCATCGTGTCAAACCCATCACAAGAGCCAGATATATGTTCCAAATGTCATCCTACCACACCTATCTAGATTGGTCATTTTCGGGCGATTTTGGAGTGCAGGGTCCATCAAGCATTAAGGGAGATGTCGGAGGTTACGTTGAAGATGGCAATTAATAGGTGGGAGTCGACAAGTAGAGGAGTGCAGGAGTCCCAACGTCGTGCTTTTTGATTCTCGGTATCGTCGTCGCCCTTGCGGTTTTCTTCGGTTTCTACGTGCTGATCCGAGTAGGAAGTCATGCAGGAGATGTGGTTCCGGAGTCCCAAGAAGAAGAATCTTTGCAAGAAATCCTATGGAAAACGAAGTCATCCTACATCCAAGCTGCTATTGGAGAATCCATTGGATATAGGAAGTCTCGCCTGAAGTCATCAACGCGTCTTCACTCTTCATCGAGTCCTTCTATCCATGCATGCAGGAGTCTTCGGGCTGGCCGACCCTCGTGGGAGGATGTCGCCCGGAGGAAGGCGTCGAGCAGTCGAAGACCTCTCCACCTTCTTTCCCCATTTTAAATCCCTCCTTTCCCCTCAGGCATTTCTTTGCAGGGCGTCGAGAAGACCGACCAAGCCTCGAAATGCATCACCGACTCGTCTCTCTGGTGCATTCCAGCATAATAGACTCATCGGTGCAGATGTCGTGGGTTTTATCTCAAGTGCAGTGGGAGAACTTTATTTAACACCCAAGTGAGTCATGGACCATGAATTTGGACAGCTTCACTTGGTGAAAAGCAATTTTTTTTAGTCGCTACGCTAGAGTCATTCTTGGATTCTCAGTTTTTCCTCGCAGAGAAATTATTGCATTTGTTTGGGAATGAAATCCCACGTATCGGCATCTCGTTTGTTTCTCTTTCGCCACATGTTACACGACGACCAATTAAATTACACCTGATTTATTCAATGGAACCATTCTTAGTCACATGTGAATGCACAATTTCCCATCATTCAAGAAGTCAAGGGGATCACTGCAGGTTCATTGAGTCTCGTGGGAGCCAGAGGAATCGAACCCCATTCAGTTTCTCACACGTACGAAGGCAGGTAAATCAGTTGGAATCTGTGAATCTGCGCAACGCGTTTTCGGTCGAGGATATCTGAAAGAGATTCTTTTCAGCATTTTACATTCAATCCTTGTTCTTGCACGCACACAGCACCTTAAAAAAAAAATTAAGTTGGACTAGAATATTGATGCTACTGGTGGCTAGAACTATCGTGTGCAAACGGCCGACTTCGGGGACCCATCGTCCGCAGAAATTGAAGGTGATGGCGATCTGTGCTGCCACGAAGGAAAAGGCCGGGGAAACCAATTGGGAGTACAAAAAGGTTCATAAAATAGCCTGTAGATGAAAAAGAGAACGGGGAAGGAAGCGTGATGTATCGGCCAAGGTTCATGGTATACGAAATTGCATGCTCAGTAGTGCCTGGCATCTTCGTCGATACTTGTCGTTATCTTCCCTCTTCTCATTCTCATATACGGACTTCATATAGAGTTTTGTATTCTATTTCATCTGTATATCGGATTGCTCGATGGCTCCTGGATCAACGAAAACGATAGGATACAAATACTCCCAGACCACTAATGTCTCCTCCGACAGCCATTCACCTTATAATAAATGCGCGCAGTACGAATCGAAAAACAGCTGGAGTTGGCAGGAAGACGGACGACGGAATATCGTTTCTCGAATCACACGCGCGCGCATCAGAGAGAAAGAGACACATAGCTGTTCCAGAGTGGGATGTTCCGTTGGAGGAGGTGCCTGCAGGGGCCCAGGACCCGCTCGAACCTGCACGGAGAACATCCTTTATACGCGGTCGAGGTGGAGACGTGTGGATGGAGGGAGGAGGACTCACCGCGCTCGATCCAGCTTGACGCACTTGAGGGGCCCGCGGGCGACGATGGTGGCTGCGCGGGGCCGGTCCAGGAGTAGGGCTATCTCGCCTGAGATCATTAAGATTAATATAATTAATATATTTATATATTATTGATATACGCTTTGGGGATGGGTTCGGGAGGAAGGGAGGTGGGGCCGACCGAAGTAATCCGCTGTCGTGAGTTCTCCGAGTGGAACGGGGTCTTTGTCGGGGGCCGGTCTCTGCAAGATGCCCGCTCTGCCCTCGAGGATGATGAAAAATTCGTTTCCTTGATCTCCTTGTTTCACGATGACTTCGCCGTCTTTGAACGTCACTTCCTCTAATGCTTCGGCTATCGCGTATCGCTCGTTTTCGGTCAGCGTCTCTGCAAAAACGGACAGAAAAAACGCGAATGGAAAAATAAAAATATTTTACCGAGCGGGTTAAAAAAAAGTCGACTGACGCAGGATCTTGACTTTTTCGAGGAAATCCTCATACATCTTCCTCTTCCTTATGGTCGACCCCATGAGAATGCGTCGGTATGAGTCCCTGTCGATCCCCCACAGCTGGCACTCCGTCTTGGCCTTCACCGTCGCAGCCCTCGGCGTCCCGTAGATGAGGGCCAGCTCCCCGAAGCTCCCGCCCTCTCCGAACGTGGACACCAGCTTCTCGTCTTTGTAGATCTGTCGCGATTTCGGAAAAGATTCAGCGCTCCGTGAATGCGTTCTTCGATTTTGTTTCGCGCGTTGGATGTCTGTGATAATTGTTACATGCGGTACCCGCGTTGCAGATGGAGATGAGATTTCAGACGAAAAGGGGCCAAAAAAAATTTTTGGAGCGTTTCCACTTTTTTTTAATGCGTTTCATCTATGCAATGATTTCAACTGAAAGACACACAAAAAGCGATGCCATGACAATTTTCGAAGATTTCGTCGGTTCATCTCCGGATATGCAGACCGCCGACGCGGCAAGGTCGGGCGCCTTGCACTCTCGAGATCCACGGGCGTCGAAGCCGTCGTTACGGTCTGCGTGCGCGGAGTCTCTCTCCATCTGTGGCCACGGACGACCGAGGCACGTTCGGGTGTTGGAGATTTTCCTCACTCTACCGGGCACACTAGCGACGCATACGACACGACGCTTGACGAGTGAACCGCAGCCTCTACGGACGAATGTCATCTTTATCATCCAAGTCCTCCACGCGCTTCGCACGACACACTAACTCCCAAACCATCCCTCTTGGCAGGAGCGACCCGAGCCTCGAGGCAGGACACTCACGTCCCCCGCAACCGGGACACCCCTCCACCCCGACCCAAAGCTTCCCATCGTGGAGATCGGGAGCGACGACGCAGCACCTCCGCATCCAGTCCCAGACGCGACGGGCGACGGCGCAGCACCCCTGCATCCAGTTCCCCTGCACCCAGTTCCCCTGCATCCAGTGCCCCTGCACCCAGGCGCACCACCCACCCCGGAGTAACGAGACCAGAGCTGCCTCGCGTCGGTGGAGCAGCAGAGCCTGGCGCCTCAGACGGTTGCAGCGCTTCATCGCACTCCCAACGTCGTGGACGGAAACGCCCACCAGAAGACTCGCGAAAACGACGCAAAAGAGCACAGTCGCGACCATAGTGACTTCACCCGCGCGAACCTCTCCCCCCAAGACCCCAGGAATCCCCCAGTCGATCGACCGACTCGGAACCAGAACGCGAAACCCCACCCAAAAACCGACGAGAAGACCCATCCCCGCAAAAACGACCTCGACCGCCCTCACGGCAACGACACCGAACGCAAAAACGTAGACCCCGACCCCCGGAACGTCCCTCGACGCGAGTACGAACGCCACCCACGCCGAGCAGCACCCGACGGCAGACGACAACGCCGCCCACCGACCGCCCAGCAAAACCAGAACCCCACCCGCGAACCCACACCCGACCGCGCCGCACCGCACGAAGCTCTCGACCCACGGCAGAGCACCCCTCGCCTTCGATCCCCTCGAACGGACTCCACGGAGAATCCCGGGGATCTCCCCCAGAACGAGGCACGTCCCCGCCACGACGTGAAGCAGCCAGGCGCACCCCAACGCCAGAGGCGATACGACGGCGCTCGACTCGTCGCACGACGTCGGCGGCGGGCCGCGGCGAGTCGGACCGGTGCAAGTACCTTCCGTTCCGTCTCCCAATTTTTTCGCGTACGAGACCGAAAATAAGCTAAGACCGACGGCAAAGACGAAATGCAGAAAGAGGAAAGCGTAAACGAGCGGCTTCATCTTGCACCACTTGAGCAAAATGAAAGACCGCACGACCGGATGCAACACGACCTGCTCGGCATCGCCCTGCACCGCCACGCACTCGAGAAACCCCGTCTCCCCTTCCGACTCCCCCGACCCCTCCATCGACCCTCCCTTCGACCCCCTCCAGAACGGCGAGAAGTCGACCGTGACCCCATTCCCTACGACCTCGAGGCACCCGTCGAGACTCTCGACGACCAGCCCCACCCCCCCAGACGCACACCCGACCGCGAGGTCCAACGCCGACTCCCCCCCCTCCGTCCTCGCCGCGAGATCCGCTCCCCCGGCGAGCAAGACCCGAACGCACCGACCGTGCCCACCGAACGCAGCGTGGTGCAGCGCCGTCCACCCTCTCGCGTCCCTCCGATCCACCGAGCGTCCGAGTCTCTCTCGCATCGCTCTGGAGGTTCCCGCCTCGGCTCCCGGTGCCGTCGGATCCGCGTCCTCCACCCCGCGGTCCGACAGCCACAGCAGCGCCTCGTGCCTTCCGGCGATCGCAGCCCGGTGCAGTGCAGTGCGCCCGAAGTCGTCGCTGTCGTCCGCATCCGCCCCGTGGGAGACGAGGAGGCGCATCGCCGCGATCGCCCCCGCCTCGGCCGCGCTCGCGAGTGGGGTCACCCCGTCCTTCCCTCGCCTCCTCGCCGACGCACCCGCCTCCAACAACGCCTCCAGGCATTCCGGATGCGCCACGGCACGGTGCACCGGACCGACGCGAAGTCCCTTCTCGACGTCTGTTCCCGCTCTCAGAAGAACCCCGAGGCACCGGATGGACCCGGCACCTGCCGCCACTCCCAACGCGGTGTCTCCCTCGCAGTTCGACGTCCCGAGGTCTCCACCCGATTCGATCAGCTTCTCCACCATCTGGACCTTGTCCATCGCAGCGGCGACATGCAGCGCCGTGTTCCCCCGTCCGTCCCGTCCCCGGACATCCGCCCCACCTTCACGCAGCAGCTCCATGCACTTCCAAGCCATGGCGATGCAATCCGCCTCCGCCCCCTTCACCACCCAGTGCAGCGCCGGCCCCCCATCCACCTCCTCGCCGACACCCCCTCTCGCACCCTCGTTGGGGTCGGCGCTCCGCGACAGCAGCTCCCTCACGGCGCCCGGGTGACACCGCATGCATGCGAGGCCGAGGGGCGTCAGAGACCCAGCGCGTCTGTTCGGATCTCCTCCTCTTTCGACGCACGACAGGACTCCGTTGAGATCTCGATTCTTCAACGCAGCGTCCAGTTCTCTTTCCACGGCCCTCCTCGCGTCTCTTTCCACGGCCTCGTCCATTTCTCGCTTCGAAACTGACCGTTCGATCCCCTCTCCGCGGCATTTCCTCGGCGTTATCGACGGGAAACCCCACGCGGCGAGAAAGAGCGGACATCCTCAACTTCCTCTGATAAATTCGAAACGATCCTCGAGACGACAGTGGGGCAGAGTCCTCGCAGATCCCTCGGACAGAAACGAACATTTCCCCCATTTTCTTCCTCGGCACCTTCCCGACGTGGCTCGACTGCCGGGCCCAAGGTGGATAAACCACGCGAATGCAAACACTTTTTCGTTTCAGCATCATTTTGCAGATTTGATTTTCCTCATCGCACCAGAAATGTTGGAATTCGCTTAGTGTATTGCCCGAGTTAAATGAGTTTAAATAAATATTTTTCGTAAATTCATCAAAGCACTAATAAACGGAAGCACAAACTGAGCAAACTGACTCGGTAATCCGCTTCACCCAAGTCTCCTCATCCCCTAATCCCCTAATCCCCCCCCCCCCCAGCCAAACTAATCTCACTCACCTCGACTTTTCCCTTATCGATGATGTAGAAGTTATCTCCGACGTCCCCCTGCTCGATGATGACCTCCCCCGGCGCCGCCGAGACGGGGAACATCGCGTCGAAGATGTCCGTCCGCTCCTTTTCGTCCAGGTGAAGGAACAGCACGTTCTTGCTTATCGCTCGGGCCAGGGCCTCCTTCGTCTTCTCGTCCTTCGGCACCACCTGGGAACAGGCACTCTACGTCATGGCTTCTTTCCCAAATGAGACTTTTAGCCGCCAATTTCTGCGTTTTTCAATTAATTTGTTTTTCCTTTTGTTTTTTTGCTGTTGACTTTTTTACATTTTAAAATGTAATGCTATTTTTGTATTTTGTATTTGTGCGCTTGTAAAATCATTTTAAATTTAAATTTGTTTTTATTTTATTATATTATTCTTTGCTCGTAATTTGATAAATGATGATGTTAGCATTACCTTTTTGACGTAAGTGGCGGCGTCCTCCTCGCTGATGGCCTCGGCCGAGAAGGCCCCGCGCCGTTGGGGCCCCGGAACGGGGATCTCATCCACCACGCTCGTCTGGGTCGAGAAAGCGGGGTCTTCGTCTCCGTCGCCATCCTGAAGAGGAGGAAGTGAGGAGGGTGGAGGGAAGCGTTTCATTTGGAGGGGGGGGGAAGGAGGGAGGCAGGGGAGAGGAGGGAGGAGGGAGAGCAGGGTGGAGGGAGGCCAGGTATCGTCTAAGTGGGAGTCGTCTGGGAGGAGGTCGTCTGAGTGAAGGTTGTCGGGTTGGAAGTCGTTTGGAGGGAGGGCGGATCGGCGGATCGCCTGATGACCAGAGAACGGAAAATGAGTGGGGGAATGAGGATGAGTTAATCGGTCACACCATCGCAAAGAAACGATTTGCAAATGAGACGCAGTCTCGAGAATCGAATGATAAGATATGATTATGGAGGGGAAAGAAGGACGATGGAGTGGTCGGATGCGAGTCATTCCCAGCGTTTTTCCGCCTGGGATGCTTACTGCGATGGATCGCGACCGTATAGGCCTAACATTCTTTTTCCTTTCTCTTTTTTTTTTTCCCAAGAGCCGGCCGGAACGCAATCCCGACGGAATCGATCAAAGATGCGGCACGGACGAAAGAAAAAAAAAAAGAGAGATCCTTTCACTCCGCCTCCGCTCAAGGTTCAAGTTTCAAGGTCAACGAAATAAAACAGGCCGACACCTCTCAAAGATCGTCGTGGCAGATCGGCCCGCACTGCCGATCGTTTCCCTCGCAATTATAAATCTCTAAACTCACTCGGCAAAAGGCGTCTCGTGGAGCCAGGCGAGATCGGGAGCGTCGCAACTCTTCCCACAGATGTCTCTGCTCGGCGCCTCAGCGACGCGACATCTATCCTCAAAGCTACGAATTAGTGGTTCGTGAAGCGCGCAAGAGAGGGAAGAAACCAGAAAAGCAGACGATATCGGCAGATTTCAATTGCGATTTATGTACGCAGGAAACGCGACAACACTTTCGCACAAAAAAAATAAAATCGGAACGACCTGCAAAAATTTCTCGGGATAGAGGGGGAAGCGCGGAAACACTTCGGATCATCGGAAATGCTTTCTCCCGGCTGTCAAAAGCAACTCAACTCTGAACACGACGAGATCGTCAAATCTTTTCAACAGTTGAGCGAATCCCGGAGATGCTCTGGCAAACTATGAATGCAATTCGAACCGATCCTTCCCCTGACTTCGAGAAATTTGCCACGTCCCGAATCATCACTCAGCCATTACTCAGACATTACTCGAGGAAAAGCACTTACTCGAGGAAGAACCGCGTCGGCGCGTCGCATGGAGAAGAAATCGCGATGAAATGAAGGCAGGCATGAGTCGATGAGTAATTTTCGTTCGTAGTTATGGTCGAGGATGAGGCAGCAAGGGCACAGTGGACAAGAGAGTCACGCCTTTCGCCTAAGAGCACCTCAGGGTTTTCCCTGTGGGGGGGAAGTGAGGGGGAGTGAGGGGGCAGGCGCTCGAGTGTTGCATGCGTGCTCCGCTTTATCTTGAGGGTCGAGAGTGGAAGCGAGGGCGAGGAGAGGACGAAGCGTCGCTCCCAATTTAAGCGCCGGGGAAAATCAACCGAGTCTGGAAATTTCGCACGGCAGGAACGGAGGAGCCGCGAGAGAGAAGCGGCAGACGGAGGCGCCGGACGCCGGGGATCGGGCAGCACTGCGCCCACGGTTGCTCACGCCGGCGTCGAAGTTCCGCCGAGTGGGGCGAGAACGACGATGGGCGCTCGCCTCCGTTCTCTTTTACATTGCGCAAAATTCTCTTGCAAGGATTGTCTCCTGGCACTGCCGGCTTCATAGCCTCGATGGCGGAAAACGATGCAGATCCAGCGACCTCGACGGCCGCCTCCGCGAAGACCGAGATCATTTATCAAATATAATAAATAACGGCACGGCGGTGCCAAAGATGGCGACCACGGCCACCTTCACGGTCGCCCGAGCTGCGCCGTCGACGATGACGTCAGGACTTCGCCGACTTCAGCCTCCCGCTGAGTTCGGCGAAGGTGACATCGACGGGAAAAACCACTCGGACCTATCTTTCCCCGCTCTGGATCGAATTGACGGATGCATTGACGTCATCGAGCCAGCGCTGCCGACTGATATCGCAGATTCCAGAAGTGATCCGCTACTTCCTTCCCCCCCCCCCCCCCCCCCCCCCCCCCCCCCCCCCCACCCCCCCTCCCCCCCCCCCCCCCCCCCCCCCCCCCCCCGATACGAAGGCAACCGAGTCAACAACGATAAGACCGCGTCGCGTTTTCCGTCCGAAGGCGAAAATTCTTGAGAAATGCCTGCAAGTGCCTATAACGCAGTTTCCGCGTAGGACTCTACTCCCGAGACCTGGAGGGCTCTACTTCCGGGACGCGGCGGAGGCCTCAAAGCCTAAAAGAAGGTCAGTGCGACTCGAAACCCGGTGTGCGTTGCTCTGCGACGGTCTCGGTCGGGGTGGAAGGGTTGGCAACTTCTGCGATGCGAGGTTGCCGAGGGGGTCGGGGTCGAGGACGATGCGAACACGGTCGTTCATCGGGTAAAAATCAGTTTGGGGGGAGGAGTGCCGTGGTTTCGTCGCAGTTGCGTTCGTCTCTAGCGTTGTTCGTCGCAGTGTCGTTCGTCTGTCGCACTGTGCGTCGAAATGTCGTCCGTCTTTAGCTGGGAAGGACACGATATGACTCACCGAAGACGTGGGCGATTCTGCAGGAACCGGTTTCGGCTTGGGTTGTTTCGGCTGCGTCTTGGGGGATTGGAAGCTCGCCTTGCGCCCGGCCTTCTTGGCGTGCTTGAGGTCGTCGGCGTCGAGGCCGGGCTCGAAGGACTGGGACTTGGGGAGGGACTTGCGTCTCCCCGACTCGGGGGTGCCGTGACTCGGCCTGTTTCCCATGGCAATTGGGAGTCGAGGGAGAGGAGCGGGGGTCCGAGGGACCGAGGCGGGGGGGAGATTAGATAGTCCTCCGTGGAAGTATTTATGGCGAGATACGTCGGACTCGTGTATCGCTGCCCCCTACTGCACCTGCAGTCACTCAAGCAGCGCTCGAGAGGCAGATAGCGCAGAGGCGGAGAGTGGTAAGATTCCCCCAATCTTAAAATTTTGGCGGACTGGATTGGCGCTGGGGCCGTAAAGGGCCGACATGATGCGTACGACAAAATTTGCACTTTTGTTTTAAATTTTCCTGCAAACAGCAGCTCCTAGTGCGAACTAAGAAAATCTTAAGTCCGAAATTGGGAATATCGGAACTGCACTCGCCTCGAGTTCAATGAGCTAATCACCTAATAATTCGGATTTCCCACATCGATATTTTGGCTTGAGTTTCGGTCTGAATTTACGTCAAATCGACCTGGAATTGTCAATATTTTAGGGAGCGTCTCACTCAAAACGGACCCATTTTGGCCAACTCCATCGTAGATTTCCCAGCGATGAAAGTAAAAAGAAATTTCAAGAAATTTCCCGATAATCATCCACACAAGTTTTCCACATCTACACCGGTTTCAGCAATTTTGTACACATTCGGCGCCCAAACCTGCTGCTGGCAGAAAAAGTGCTTATTTACTGCATGGAAAACATTTCCCTCAAATCGCTTACATTATCGCACTGACACAACCACAAACCACAGACACAACCACAAACCACAGACACAACCACAAACCACAGTCGAGCAACACACGAAAGGGTATGAAACGCCGTCGAAGCGATCGCCACCTTGCCCGCTCCATCCCGAGGAATTACATGGGAATCCTTATCCGGGAAACGGGAGTCTGTTGCACTAATCTCTGGCTTTTTTTAAATGTTTCTTTAAAAAAAATGTAATGTGTCTTTTATAGACGGTTCGAGGTTCGGTAGGGCCGTCAAAAAGCGTAACCGCCCCTCATTACGATCCGGGTCGAGCGTTCGGAAACTCTTAAGATAGGCCTAGACTGTTATCTATAGTTCCGAAAGCGGTACCCTGTGTGGTAAAAAGGAAATTTCCTCTAAACTGAGTAGATTCACCGGCTACAAGTACCCGGAAAGGTACTTATTTTGATACAATATTCTCATTGATGCGATACACTCGAGCGGTGTGCGGTGGTCTCTGATACGCAACGCTGCATCGAGTGATTCAAAAGGAAACGCGAATGAAACGGAAGCAAATTCAAATAAATGCTGAACGCGGGATGAAATTAATGCGTGATGTGGTAAGCGCTGATCGCCTTGTCATTCGGTGTTCCTAAGTAAGAATTCGATTCCAAGGGCTGAAGAATTCGATTCCAAGGGCTGAAGAATTCGATTCCGAGGGCTGAAGAACCTGTTTCAAGGCACGTTTCCGTCTCTGGCGAGTGACAGAATTTTTTTTTTTCATTCCGGGAAGTACGTCCAGACTTTTCCTTCGAACACAGTCGTGAGCCTCTCAAAGATTTCTCACTTCGGTTTTTTTTTTGTCACGTCGTCGCTTGGCCTTTCATTTCCAAGGGATCCGGAGCGAAGAGGAGATCGACGATCTTCGGCGGAAACGGATCGCTTTGGAATTTGATTCGCTTTGGAATTCGATTCGCTTTGGAATCCACCGCAGAAAAGGAATCATCATCGCATCGACGGAGTTCATAAAATCCCTTGTAAGTTCTGTTTCTTCGTTTTTTTTTTTCTCACTCCGTAACGACACCAAAGGTCCAAAAAAGACAACGGATTCTCTAAATACTAAACAAGACGTCAGGTAACTTTAAATCAGTCGTTCAAAACGTCCGCGTGCTTCCCAAAAGCCATAGGCGGAATCTCCCTCCTGAGCGAGGGACCTCAGCGACTCGCGGGGACAGGCCTCCAACTGGGCGGAGTCCAATGGGATTCGGGTCTGGAGGTCATTGGGGTCGATCGGTCCATTCGATCGAGTCTGGGAGGTTCCATCGCTCAGTCAGTTGGGCGGAGGGCGCTGGGGTAGGGTCTTCTTGGATGTGCCGCTGTCGGTAGTTGAAGAATTTTCCATCGCAGTGCTTTTTAATAGGCGCCAAAATGAGATCGCGGTGATATCTGGCTGCTTTGGCTACTTCCGGCGCGAAAATTGCGTCTCTGCGGCCTTTTGCGATTTTCTGCTCGAATTCTTCCTGAAGCCGAGAGTTAGCATCTCGTTCTGGGCATCTGCTGTCGTAAAGATCTCATCTCGATCTGGGAACCGTTCCAAAAGCCTTCGGTCGAGTCTCTCGAGCCGGGTTGCCCGCTGTCAGTCCGTGATTCATGGACTCTTTTCGTGTTGGGGGGGGGGGGGGCGCATGAAAAGGGCCTTTGTGACCGGGAGCCGCATCGATTCCCGATTCGTCTCGGCTGTCGGTTTTCCTCGTGACTTTCGACTCTCGACTTTCTTTTTCGCAAACTTCCGCGAGATTTCTTGGGTTCCCAGCATCCTCAAGGTGTTAGCTCGGAAGTATGGTTATTCAAAGCCACAACTGCACTTCGTGGTTCCACTAAAGTTAGTGCTTAAGCGAAACCTTGGCGGGAAATGACTGAAGGACGTCCTAATACTCACATGATATACATAGGTTAGCGTAAGTATTTCTCACTTCAGAACTACCTACTTTTGAAAAATATAACTTACTTGTCACCCAGTATTTTTCATCGACGGTATTAAGTACCTTACGCACTTTTTACTGCAGTACCGACCAGAAAATGATAAGATAAGAAAACTCTCTGGGGAACATTATGGGATCAATTGGGAGTTGATAACCGCAGGTGGCTCACGTGGTCGTGGGGGGAGCCACCAGTCGAAGCGCTTAATCTTGTTGCAGTAGTGGATAGAGGGGCACGAGAGGAGGGGCAAGGGGGTTAGGGGGGGAGGGGCAAGGGGTGGAGCACCTCTACTTTCTCTATGCTCAAATTTTAAAT